CGGGGAGGGGAAAGGGGAAGGAGGGGTATTTGCGGTAATTTCATTGTAACCTGGGGACGGGTGGCTTTTTTGGCTGTCGTTTCCCCCTCCGTTCAGCCACCTAACACGATTAAAACTTAAGTTTTGGAGAGACTTGGTTCTGACTCGCGTGATCACCCCCGTACCCATCCTTCGCAAGCTTTATGTTGCACCCTTACGTGCGATAGCTCATGATAGACTTTTCTTCTTTTTTTTATCTAGTACTTTTTCGAACCACTGTAAGCTTTTGATATCCCACAGTATGTAGCAAGAATTATCTCTGCTCAACTTCTCAAATGTGTTTTCAAAGAATCATAGAATGTTTAGGGTTGGAAGGGACCCCTAGAGCCCACCCAGCCCAACCCCCCTGCAGGAGCAGGGACACCGCTAACCACATCAGGTTGCTCCCAGCCCCATCCAACCTGGCCTTGAATGTCCCCAGGGATGGGGCCTCCACCGCCTCTCTGGGCAACCCATTCCAGTGTTTTACCACCCTCATTGTAAAGAATTTCTTCCTTACCTCTAGCCTGAACCTACCCTGTTCTAGTTTAAAACCATTTCCCCTTGTCCTAACACAGCTGGCCCTACTAAAAAGACGTTCCCCATCTTTCCTATAGGCCCCCTTTAGGTACTGAATGGCCACAATCAGGTCTCCCCGCAGCCTTCTTTTCTCCAGACTGAACAACCCCAACTCTCTCAGCCTGTCCTCATTTTTGAGCCTCCTTTCTTTTCATGGGTCCTACCTGATGTCTGGTAAGAGACACAGTGAGTGGAAAATTAATTCCCTGTTAAGCATCTGCGTGCCACTGAGGTATTTAAAGACCTTCGTGCTGTCCTACTCAGCTTTTTCAAGCTGACAGACCCTACTATACATAGGCATTCCAAATATGATCCTTTCTGACATTGGGAGTAGGGCACAGGAAGCCAGGACTACTTTGAGTGTTCAAATGTGGGCGCACCACTGGTTTATACATTAGCACGCTGATGTTTTCTGTTCCATTTTGCTGAAAAAGCAAAATGTTTGCAGGCAGAATCTGAAGGTGCTCTTCTGGAAGCCATAGTCTTCCATAGCCATAGTCTTAGAATCATAGAATCATAGAATCATAGAATCGCTTTGGTTGGAAAAGACCTTTAAGATCATCGAGTCCAACCTTTAACCTAACCCTGCCATCCCACCACTAAACCATGTCCCTAAGCACCTCATCTATCCTTCTTTTAAATACCTCCAAGGATGGGGACTCTACCACCTCCCTGGGCAGCCCATTCCAGAGACTGAGGAAGGAGCAAAAATGCTGGAAAAGGTAACTAGCAAGGGAGAGGAAGTTACTGGAAATTCAGCATATATAAATGTAAAGGGATACACAAAAATGCTGCTCTGTCCTAGTCAAAGTTGATTATGGGCTTTGCGGTAACTACTACTGCTTGGGCTTTTTGGATGAGCAAGAACATGGACTCAGTGGCCAGTAGCAATCCAAACAGTAAATACGATGCTAGCTCCAGGGTGTAGCATGTTTGCACAACGTGGACGTTTTCCTTGATCTCAAAAGGATGTAATAGGGCGGGAAGTGCAAAGAACGGCAAGGTTGGCCAGAAGGCATGGACCAGCTCCCAGAGAATCATCCTGGGCTTCTTAACACAGAAAAAATGGAGAGAAGGTACAGGTCTCTCCATTAACGGGTGGCATATAGATTCTGATCCACTTCCAGCGCAGGAAGTAAGGGATACCAAATGAAACCATCAAGGGGTAAGTTTGAAGAAGGGAGAGGAGGCAGTTTTTGATGCTGCAAGTAGTCAAGCTGAAAAACTCCTTGCCTCATGGAGTTACGTACCGGAACTGTGCATCAAGTCCATTAATTTACAAATTAGTAGAAGACAACTATTCTAGGCTAACAGGTAAATGAATGCTCTCTGCCTCAGGAAGTCCTTGAAGTGCAAATCCTGATTCCCCATCTCACAGCCCCGTATGATGGGTTATGGCTCTTCGACAGGTAACGACGGATGGACTCGATGGCAGGGCAAAGGCCTAACCGTGTGTTTGAGAGATTGCTCTTTACTGCATGCTGAAACTATTTGGAATTCCACACATCCCTCTAATGTGAAAATTCCTTACCGTAAACCCCAGAACTTTCTTTACCCACCGTATTTTCTGAACTGTTCGGATCTAAGGTCAGCAGGACAATAATGTGAATTCCTACTCCCAGGTGAAAAAACCTCACCATAGCATCAAGATACAAACTAATGTCTCAAGGACTGGCGTATGGAAGGAATAAATACGAAAACGTCAGAAAATAATGCATCGATAGGTTTAAAATTTTTTTATTGTGCTGCCAAGAGCCAAATTACAAGAAAACCGCCTTACAGTTAAAAAAGTAAACAAGCAATCTGCT